TCCAGGGCTCCGTGTTGAGGGCCGAAGTCACTGCTCTGAGGCGAAGCTAAGCAGCGCAAGCACGCCCTAGCCAAAGCTGAACAGTGCGAAGGTGTGCAATTCTATGCCATATATGGCTCAATTAAGCCTCCCTGCACCGCTTTTTTCTTGGCTCAAGCCCTCATTACCTTGTAAAACAGAACCCTAAACCCCTATGCACCCAAAAGGAATAAAACTTTCCTTTCCGCCTTTCGGCCCTGTTAGACTTAGGGGACGCGTGCCCCTAAAATAGCAACCGGGCGCACGTTTTTGCACGAATTTGCATGGCTTACATGATTTTGCTTGGCTCTGATTTTAAGGGCAAGGCAAAGAGCACGCGCAGCAAGGGAGCAAACACAGCAGACACAGCAGGCACAGCACGGCAGTCGCACAGTGTCGGGGTGGGTCCGGCCATTTGTTTTGACGCCGGGGCCTGTGAGCTCAGCGCAGTACTGGTAGGTGCAGTTCAGGACTGGCAGTAGGCAGGTGGAGTGCCATGCGCCTGCCCCCCGCCCCTGCCTTTCGACCCGTCTCAGGTGTTTCTTTCGCAAGCATCTGGAACGGTTCATCACGAGGCCAGGACATCACTCACTGCCTGTGTGCAGAAGCCGCATGTGGCCCAACGCAGCTCTTGAGACACGAAGCTCGACTGCTCAAGTCAAGTTGGATTTCTGAGGCATGAGAGATCTTCTGTGTTTTTGGAGCCATGGCGCCACAGCGCACGCTTGGAAAGCTTGCGCTGGCTCTGTTTGTCACTACGGCGCCAACGTTCGTGCCGCAGGCCGGAGCCAGTTTGTCATTCTCCCTGCACGGCAAGATGGTTTTGCTGCAGGCGAATCTTGGTATGAGTCGTGGACGGCTCGCCAGCGAGGCAGATGGGCTTGTGGCTGATTGTGAGGGTCTGCGTGCATCATGCTTGCAGGCTGAGTTGGCCAGGGGGTGGCCGCGGCAGGTGGAGAAACCTCGCACGCAGCTGCGAGCATGGAATTTGCCCTTTGACAAGCTCCTGAGCATCTCGAGCATCGTCCTGGGCATCTCGAGCAGTGTCATTGCCATAGTTCAGGTCCGGAGGGCGTTCCAAGAGTCTCGAGAGGGCAGGGTGCAAGCTGCCGTGAAGCAAATAATACAGCCCTACGAGCCGAAGAAGAACAAGAAGAAGCCGGTGGTCCACCGCGCCATTTTCGATGCCATCAAGGACCAAATTGCGAATTGGAACTCGCACGCCACCATCATCACCGGTCGCTACGGCAGCGGCAAGTCTGTCGCAGTCAGAGACGTGTTGCGAGGCGTCCCGGGCGTCTTCGTCCACCCCATCAAGGGCGCCGACTGGGAGGACAGGCTGTACGAGCGCCTGGGCCTGACTGGGCCTGACATGCTGGAGGAGGTCCTGCGCCGGGTGCAGGCGCAGCTGGAGAAGCTGGAGGGCCCGTCGAAGGTGCCCATCATCGTGCTGGACATCCCGCGCAAGACGAGGGAAGGCGCGGCGCTTGTGGATTTCAAGTCCTTCCGCCCTTGCTTGTTGGTCGTGAGGCATAGACGCTGTCTCCACCTTCGCCAAGTACCTGTGCTCCGACGACACTATGGACGCCACGGCACATGCCAGGACCCGAGTAGTTCTAGTTAGCTTCGGTAGGCCTTGAATTGCGTCCGAGCGGGCTGATGCGTGTTTCACATGGTGTTCCGAGGTGATGGTGCGCGCATCGTCGGCCGCCATGGCCCTGAGCTTTGATGCCGGCGGCAACCAACGCCAGCGAAACTTTTGGGTGGCGGACCTGACGGAAAACGAGGCTGAAACGATGCTGGGTCTGTATGGGTATAAGAATGATTGGAAGAGTTTTACCTCAGCATGCTCCTTGGCTGCATTGATTTCTTTCGTCTTCAGGCCTTGCGCTTGTGTTCTTGTGTTGGTGATGGCGTCCAGGTGGCTTCAACGCTTTGGAGTTGGTGGAGGCCTGTGAGCAATACAATGAAGCAGGGCAGGGCGGGCCGGCCACACTGGCGGCCAAAAGGGCGAAGGCGCGAGAGGAGGTGCTGCGCTTCCTGAACGGTTGCAAGATGAAGACGCTGGGCGGCGTCGTTCCTGCTGGCGCAAATATTTTGAACGCCCTGGTGCAAGACCGCAGAGCTGGTGGCACGGGTGTCGGGGCATTGACTGGCGGCAGCGTTGTGCTGCCAAGAGATGTGGCAAAGTGGAT